TTTTATGTTGTCTTGGATTTCTTGGATGGTTTGTGTCAGATAATTTTTAGATTTATTATTTTCTTTGACAGATACATCGATTTCTTCCATTGTATCTTCCACACCTTAGATTCTTTCTTTCATATCTTGTAATCTGTTGGTTATGTTTACCTCTGTAGTTCCTATTTTCTTTCCTAGGTTCTCCCTCTCCATCATTTCCTCCATTTGTGTTTCCTTTCATTCTTCCTATTCTATCTTCTGATCTTGAACCGTTTTGTTGATTTCCTTCACCTATTTGACTGTATTTTCCTATTTTTCCTTCAATCCCTTCAGCTGTTTCTTTGAATATTCCTCTGTTTCTTTTATTTCTTTCAGTGATTTAATCATTTCCTCTCTGAACGCCACAAGCTGTTTGGCTGCATCTTCCTGTATTTCTTTACGGATGACCATAATCTGTTTTATTATATCTTCCCCTAAACCTTTACTCATTTTATTTGCTTCTTCCAATGACCTCTTCATAAGCATACATATAAGGTCATCTTCTTGAATTTCACTTATGTTAAGGTGTGCAGGGCTACTTGACCCTGGATAACTGGGTTCTGGTGATACCATATTGCTTTGCCTTTTGTTGGTTGTGATTTTTTGCTGGCCTCTACCCATCTCTCTGTCTCAGGTGTTGTCTGTTAATTTCTGGTGCCTGCTGCGTCCTGGGGTGGGGAGAATCCACTTGGCGGGGTTCTGAAGTTCTCTGCTTTTTGTGTATGGTCAACTGAATGGTGGTGCTTCTCAGAAATTGTCACAGTTCACTTCAGGTGTATGGAACTGTGTGGTAACTGTGGTGTTCAGGAAGGCTTTCCTCTCCTCAGGAGAGGTCCTGTTGCTGGCTGCCCTGCTGCTGGGTTTCTTGCTCTGAATTGAGTGAGCAGCAGCTGTTGCTCTTAAGGTGTAATTGTTGGGTGCAGCCCTCTTGAAGAACCAGGGAGTCCCACAGTTTTGTCAGTTTAGCTAGGGATAACTGGTTGATCCTAGGAACAGTATCTGAGGGCTGCTGTAATGACTCTCTAGCTTTTGTAGGTCTGAGGATGCAACTGTGTGCCTCAGTGCCCTAGATAGACTCAATAATGGTGGGTGAGCACAGTGGTCATGCCAGCAGTAGAATGCTAGAGCCTAGAGTCTACGTGAATCCAGAATGTATTTTGGAGCGGGGTGTCCTGAGCATTGGACTTGATGATCCCCCCACCCCCGCTGTGGTGTTTCCTCCTGACAGGAACACCCAGTCTTTGCTTTGGGAACAGCTGTTCTATCTGTGATGGCGAGTAGAACCCCCAAGCACAGACTTACAAGGCTCTGCCTTTCTGCCTTTCTGGGGATTGGATGCCTGGGTTTCTGCCGAAACTGGATAATTTTTCCCAAAAACTTTTCACCATTTCAGATGGTATTGGCTGAGTGTTCTGATCTCAGGCCAGCCATTCTGCTCCCTGTGGGTTTGAACCCAACAGAGAAACTCACTCTCTGGTGCCCTGGGGCCCACAGTTCTATCTGGGGCAGTGATTCAGGCACACCGGCAGGACTCTGTGCAGGCACCTGGGTCCCAGGCTCTGGCTCTGGGCTGGCTCCTGGGCACCCGCAGAACCCTGAGTCTTTTCCAGGGGATGTCTGGGTGACCGAAGGTGGGTCCCAATCGTTTCATGCACCGTGGGGTTATCTCTTGACTGGAAATCCCAATCTCTGGTGTTGTGGTACCCACAGTTTAGTCTGGGACAGTGATCAGAGAACGCTGGCATATGGGGGCTCTGGGCTGGCAACCAAGCGAATGGTGGAAACAGGATCTCTTCCACGATTTAGCTGGGTGAGTTAAAGCTGATTGAATCCCCCACTGTGCAGTATCCTCTCACCTGGGAAACACAATCACTTGTGTTTTAAGGCCATGAGTTCTGACTGCTAGTCACTGTGTAGATCCTGCTGTGCTGCTGGTCAGAACGAGAGTCATCACAGTGCCGCCATCTTGTGCTCCTCCCTATCAAGCATTTCTTTAAGTGTTTCTTTGGCATTCTATGTTCCTCTATTGAGAATTCTCTATTTAGTTCTGCACTCCATTTTTCAATTGGACTACTTGGTTTGTTGCTCAACCATTTTCATAGCAGCTTTATTCATAGTAGCCAGAACCTGGAACCAACCCAGATGTCCCTCAGCTGAGGAATGGATATAGAAATTGTGGTACATTTAGAGAATGGAATACGACTCAGCAATTAAAAACAAGGAAATAATGAAATTTTCAGGCAAATGGTGAGAACTAGAAAAGATCATCTTGAGTGTGGTATCCTAGAAGTAGAAAGACACACATGGAATACTCACTCATAAGTGGATATCAGACATATAATATAGAATAAACATACTAAAATCTTTACACATAAAAAAGTTAAGCAAGTAGAGGACAATGCAGCCACTTTTGATGTGAACTGATAGACTAAGATCAGAAAGGAGAGGAGAAACTCCCCTATCAGTGGACTTGGGGAGTGGCATGCATGCAGAAAGGGGAGGGAGGATGGGAATGGGAGGGGAGGAGGGAGGGGCTTATGGGGGATACAAAATGAATAAAGTGTAATTAATAAAATTAAAAAAAAAGTTAAGCAAGAAAGAGGACCCTGGATAAGATTCCTAGTCTCTATTCAGAAAGGCAAATGAGGTAGACATTGGAAGAGTGAGAAAACAGTGAGCAGGACAGATGCCTGCCACAGAGGATCTCTGAAAAAACTCGACCTTGTTAGGTATTAAAACAGATGCTGAGAGTCATAGCTAAACATTGGAAAGAGTGCAGAGAATCTTCTGAGAGTAGGTGGAGATAGAATAACCTGGAAAAGACAGGAGCTCCACAAGAAGAGCAACAGAACCAAAAATTGGGGCCCAGAAGTATTTGCTGAGACTGATACTCCAGCCCAGGACCATTCATGGAGATTAACCCAGAACACTTGCACAGCTGTAGCCTGTGGCATTTCAATATGCAAGTAGCTTCCCTAGTAAGGGAAACAGGGGCTGTCTATGACATGAACTCAGTGGCTGGCTCTTTGATCACCTCTCCCTGATGGGGGAAGCAACTTTACCAGGCCAAAGATGAAGACAGTGCAGCTAGTCTTGATGAGACCTGATAGGCTAGGTCAGATGGAAGGGGAGGAGGACTTCCCCTTTCAGTGGACTGGGAAAGGCCATTGGAGGAGAAGAAGAAGGGAAGGCAGGATTGTTAGGGCAGGACTGAGAACAAATGAGGGAAGGAATGAGAGAGGTGGCTACAGCTGGGATACAAATAAATAAATTGTAATAAATTTATAAAAGAAATTTAAAAAGAAAAAATGTCAAGGTGTGTTTCCTTAATGCACTGTATTTATGGCTGTGTTGGTTTTTCAGGAATTATGATAGATGCAGTAAAATGTATACAGAAAAAATAGACGTAAAGTATGAAAAATTACGTTATATTCTTGATAAATTATAAATAAAATCAATTAACCAATAATAATGTAGTTTCTTAAATAGTCCATTTAAAAGTAGGTATTTTAGGAATGATTTACAGTGAAATTTTCTTAGTATCTTTTAGGGTTCTTTTAGCTAAATTGGCTGTTTATGATTATATACTCACTCCTATGTAATTGATGAAAATGTAGCTGTATTCATTACCTGTTGTTAATTGGTTCCCTATGGTGGCATTCTAAATTACTGAACACTATCACTTCTATTCTTGATTTTTAAATCTGTCCTGGTTCTATATTTATTTTATATGTCTCTTTGTCTTCTCATTTTTCTCTATACCTTAACCAAAATCCAGATGAGCAGAATAGTCCTGTGAATTCCTACTATTATGTTCCTAAGTGTGCAACAATGCACTAATTCGTAGTCATAAGGTCTATATATCATAGCAGTTCTATTTTTGTGATTGCAATCATCCCCTTGTTATGAGTCCAATTAATTACATAACAGAATTTTATTTAAATTGAATATTATATGACAACTATAAGGGAAAATGAGGTCAAAGATATCAAGAAAATAAATGTTTCTTCAGAGATAGAATTTTGAGAGAATGTCAAAAAGCAATCTCTTAGCATTGCTATATTTGAACTTCACAAATAGTTTAAAGGGAACAGGTGTTATTTCAGTAAATAATAAAAAGAAGTGGCAGTTTTGAAAAGTTTTACAGGACATTTACACTTGAATGGAATGTAAGGTCACAAATGGGCACATCAACCAGTTGCAGAACTCAGCCTGAATCACATGAGAGCATGCTCCCATCTATTGCCATCACCATTTGCCTGCTCCTTTCCTTTATGCCACTTACATCTTCCTATTCTTATTTCCATGACCACTGGGGAAACTAACAGACATCAATAAAGTGAATGGTTAAATCAGATATGAGCATCAAATCCTGAAGAGGAAATATGCTGTTTGATTTCCATTGATTCCATTATTAAATCCAGTACTGTGTCATGGTTCTTAACCTATACATGGCAATAAAATTCCTAGTCTGTCAGAAGCAACAGGAAAGCCCATTCATGAGTACCATGCTCTCTTCATTGTATCTTTGTTCTAATTTCTTGAATTTATATAGATATCACAAATGTGTACATTAATGAATGTCATATTATATTGGGTGTGTATGAATCCCTGAGTGAAAATCATTTGAGCCTCTTGTCCCTGCCTGGTGATATCTCAGTTTCCTTAGTCAAATCTTATGGGCACCTATTGAGTCCAAGAAAGACCTGCTTTATCAATTGATAGACAAATAACCAAATAATAAATATCTCATTAGAGCTGAGGATGTTAGAATTTCATAGGGAGAACAAAAGATGATGACATAATCTCAGAAAAAATACTAATTTTTTTTCGTAGATAATAGATGGATTGTTTAAATTTTACATTTCCACACCATGCACTATCTTTACAACATGGGTCATGTAGCATTACATGAAAAAAAAAACTTCTTCACTGAAATTATTTTAATGCAATAAGATAATGTTTCTATTGTGTTTCCTCAGGCCGAAAAATATTTAAAAATGCTGATCAATTTTGTGGGTGCCTGGAATGTCCCTCTGTACCATCTTGTGGTTGAACTGAGTGCCATGGATGATCTTCCTAAAACTATCCTTGCAAATGCCAAAAAGATTGAAGAGAACAACAAAGAACTCCTGGAAGACCTTAGATGGATACTCACCAAGGTGAGAAAATTTCCATTACTTATTCTCATTCATAAAAGAGGTGGGTTGTCTAAATTAAAAAAAAAAAAAAGACGGAAATACCTCAGATTTCCAGAGTAAAATGCAAATATCTGACCTTGTGGATAATGTTCTCCTAAGACAGTGGCTCTCAACATGTGGGTCATGACACCTCTGGGGATTTAAGGACCCTTTCATGGCAGTTGCCTATCAGATATCTTGTATATGATGTATTTACATTATGACTATTTCCAAAAATCACAATTATGTAGTAGCAACAAAAATTATTTTACGGATGGTGTTCACTAGAGCTTGGGAAAGTTGAGAACCACTGAACTGTGAGATTGCTGGCAGCTCCAACCTTCTCAGAGTTGCTTCTCATCACTACCACTCTGGGGATCATAATTAAACACAACTGTTACTATTAAGCCCTTAGAGGACTCCTGTCCAGGATAGACTGAAAGAGCTCAGCTCCTTCTAATATAGTCATCCCTAGGCTTCATATATTAAATCACCATCTGATACGCATTACATGTCAGATTTTCTTTTATAAATTTCATGGAAATGGATTTAATGAAATATATAAACAAATGGTGGTGCATATCAGCTTCTGTGATAGACAAATGATATGGAAGAGTGTCCTAAGTGAGAAACTGACACTAGCTCTTCCAATGTCACAGAGTCAAAGTGAAACTTTCTACTTTCCCTCTGTTTCTAAAAAGAAGTCCTTACTTGTCTGTGATACATTGTTTATTAGAACACATACATATGAGTCTTGATAATACTTCCTAAAAGATGAACTGCTTGACAGTCTCCTGGCCTACATAAATGAAAACCTATACCTTTGATGGAAGCAGTACATTTTTAATGTATTTTTCTATTTGCACATATAAGAATCAAGGAACACTAACAATATACTCAACAAGTAACTGTTATTTTGATTTTTAGGCCTATCCTACAGAAAAGAAAGAGGAAAATTTCCCACGTTGGCAACATCTTCTAGCCTTAAAATCAAGGCTCAGAAATGATCAGTTTTGGGCAATATTTAACCTTTCCAACTGCCTACGCTCAGATATATACTTCACTCTATTTCATCTCAAAACACTGAAGTGTCAAATGACCAACAACTGTTTTGATACCTAACCTGTGTTGAGTCTCAACCCTGTCTGCTTTGGAGGTGGTCCATGACAGTCCATCGCTGAGAAGTTTCTTCTAATTTTATACCTTTTAAATGTATCTGTGGGTATAATCTGTCTCTTTTTACATAATTAAAAGCATTTTCTTTAGAAATATCCAATAGCCTATTTCTTTTTGTTCAGTGAATAAAATGCTTATCAATAAAGTTAGGTTAGCCTAAACAAATTTATCAGAAACAATAGATGTTAACCTTAAAAATGAATGTATGGTTTACTTCAATAAACTCACAGAAAAGTAGGAGGTTATTATCAAAGTGTAAAACTCTAATAAACAAAGTGTAAAACTCTAATCCATGTATACTAACAAGGAATATAAGCCATAATGCTTCATGACATCCAGACTGTCTTGAAAAACTCGGTTCACAGTGAAAACACAGCCAGTCCAATCCAATTCCTGTTTCACTCTACAACCTCAAGAAGACTTGGAGGGAAGGAGACATGAAGTGAATATGATAAAGACAAACTCAATGTATGCATAGAATTTCCAAAGAATTAATTTTGAAAAATTAAAAATTGTTTTAAGATGCAAATGTCAGTTAGTTAAATCTCTGCCTCCTGTGTCATGTTCCCCACTATAAATTTGCTCCTCCATAGCACCATCACACGTATGTTCTGCAAGTTTTCATTTCTCGGTGTCAAGCATGATTTTCTTTGCTCCATAGTCATTTTAACTAGATGCACTCTGTATATGGTGTATACATTATATCCATAGGAAATGTAAGATGGAGACTCACTTTGGCTGTCTGCCATGAAACTGGGATATAGCAATCAGTTGTCTTTCATTCTGGTAAGAAGGAAAGAAAAGCCTTCTCATACTCTAATATCATTATTAATGGAACTTAATAATGAATAGCATTCTGTTATCATTATTAATATCTAATATCTATTATTGTTTATAATAGTAAACATTAAAAGCAGCTATTACTCTACTTCAGTTATATCCCAAATGTTATGATAAGCATTGCTTTTTTTCCCCCCTCTAGAATCTTTTTAAACATCCTCTGTTTTTATTTTTATTTTTTTCATTGACCTTCTGGATCATTCACTCTCCATGTATTTGTGTAGATTGCGCCATTTTCTTGATATCAACTTTCTGTTTTATTGTGCTATGGTCTGATAAGGTATTGAATTACCATTACAGAAAATTACAAACAATCAAAACTCAAACTTGAGATCCCAGTGACACATAATACATCTACAATACAACCTTGGCACTGAGGATTGAGGAAACATGGTGGAAAAGGTGGTGAAAATGTTGTAAGAGCCAGCAGATGAAGTAGTTTGCTTTAGATTGCACTCCTGGGTATATTACAAGTTAACACACATACAGTCCCACCAGCATGACAGTCCAAACATGAGCCAAATGAAGGCAACAACGATAGATGTGCTGAAGCCCAGAGGCCTTAACTCCACACACAAAAACTGCAGGTAGCTAGGGAACACTCATGTGTAAAGAAAATATTAGATGTATCCAAAGCTTCATGCAGAAACCATAGCTTGTTTTTAACTAGAGAAAACGGTTGAAAATTAAGCCTGCACTAAAGAGTAGGATGCATCTCAATCTGAATGGTTTTTGTATAGGTCCACAGAAAAGCAGTACATTTTAGTGCATGAAAGCAATGTGGCTAAAATGTAAAATAAATTTGGCTTTAGAGGATGTGCCAGTAAAAAAAAAATGCTTCAAAAAGAAAAGGAGGAGAAACAATTTCAAATACTTTCACAGCGTTTCCCAATAAACATCAGAAGAGTGTTCTGTAATGCAGTAAAAAGGATGTGAGATATCTGAGGACATGAACATGCCATGACTCTACACAGGAGAGGAGTGGATAAAAGCACAAAGCAGACCCGAGAATTAAGACTAGACACATCAATGGATGAATAATGAGTGAGTAAGTGGATGGATATGTGTATGTAGGGGAAATAACGTAAGAGAAGATGAGGCATATTGCAATTTCATAGAAACTGAAGTACAGCCAAATAAATATTGTTGAAAGCAACAGTAATAATAGAAGCCTCCTTACAATGAAGAGACAGGCACACTGCTGAATTGTGTCAGACCTAAAAAGAAAAAAAAAGGGTCTCAGTAATGGTCTTCAAACTATTCAAACATACCATGGAAGGGTAAAACTACCAAACACATTTTATAGAGCCAATATGACCAGGAAACCAAAAAAGAGAGGCCATGAACTTTAGAAAGAAAGATACAATATGAGACGCAAGAACTATGAAAGATACAACTGAAGAGCTGTAGAGAGGAAGGAAGATGGAGAAATCATGTAATCATATCATAATCTCAAAACATTATAATAAAATTACAAACTATTTTTCCTGATGAAGACAAAAGCACATTTTGACTTAATACATGTAAGCATAATTTATTATATGCTAAGATGATTGTTGACTACAGTTAAGAGATATAAAGAATACTCATAAAACCATAAAACCTAAGTCAATAAGGTATGATAACAGGTAGAAACCAAAGGAAATAAATAATATTATTATCTCAATGTAGGTGCAGATGACTTTTTACATATATCACCATCTTTTCATGATAAACACCCTTATAAACTAGGAAAATATGAACAGATAAAAATAAAATTAAAACCAACTATGGTACATTTAAAGCTACCTAACACTAGATGGTAAAATAATATTGTTTTAAATTCCAAAGGCATCTATTGTTCTGTTTATACTCTTACTCACTATTTTGCCAAAAGTATAAAACAAGAGATTGTAATAACAGGGCTGTAATAACAGAAGTATTCTAATTATCCCTATTGCAGATTACATGATTCTACGATTTAAGAACCCCAAAGAACAACATTTCTTCTGACAACAGTCTCAGAAAGTAGAAAGACTGAAGGGGAGGAAAAACTCAGTAGGTTTTCTACATACCAAAATGACTTTCATCAGAACATGTGAGAAAATATGCAACTCAGACTACCTTCCAAAAATGAAATAACATATTTAATAATAAATTTAAGAAGTCAAATACTACTACCTTGAAAGCTATATAACAATGAAGAAATATGTTGTATAAGTCCCTCCAAGATGTAGAGGGTTTCTAAGCTGGATAAATTGCAGAATTAATATTGTGAACATGTATACATTTCCAAAAATCTATAGATTCAAATAATTTCATCCCAAATACTAGTGACATTTTTCCTATTGTTAGAAAATGTAATCTTAACATTTATATGGACTTATTAGAGACCTTAATGGCCAAGGTAACTGACAGACAAGATCAATAGTATGTGAATGTCAAACCAAATTTCAATTTAAATTATAGTCGTAACAAAAAATATCCACAGAGGTTGGTCAGCAAATTAGTAAAGGTTCATGGGTAGGGAGGGTTTTGAAGGAAGGAGAATGGAATGTAGTGGCATAACAACTTAATGTGGAATAATGGAACAGAAAAATTTAAATTTGGATGCATGATGTAAGAGAACTGTAGAATACAGTATATGCTGAGGGGCAAATAGCATTAAAGACATTTCCAGAAACTCATGTGGAACCCTACACTGTGTAAGCTTCCATGTGTTTATATATATACACACATATATTAATAACCAAACAAAACAAGATAACAAAAAAAAAACCACTATGTTAAAAATACATGGCCTCTTGGAGTTAGTAACCAGTGAGGTCCCATAGATCCCAAACACAAAAGGCCTTTGGTTAGTCTCTAAAACTTGATAATAAAATCTGATTCCTGAGTAATCTACACACTTGAGTCATGGAGCAAGGAGAGATCAAGCTACAAAATGGACATGGATGCTTCATCATTACTGCTGTGAATGGTGCAAGAAGGGAAAAGTACTCATCAGGCATACCCAGACATGAAGCCTGTGAGCTACAATAACTGTCTGCCTGGCAATCTATGCCCACTGGTGCAATAATAAAATGACTGTCATGGGATTAACTAACCACTTTCTAGTTGGGTTTAAAGACAGAAACAAAGCTGGTAGTTATAATAGTTATCAAGACCCTAAACTTGTGGCTATTCAGGTCATGTTCATAGGGAAGAACCTACTAATATTTTTATGAGAACAGAATATAACATTAAACGGATTCCCAGGGACATATTGCTATATGCCCAGATTAGTGGATCTCTCAGCCCTCATCAGAAAAGCTAATTTTGAGTACAACAGAGGGCAAACAACACAAAGACCCATAATGGCAGGTACAGAAGTTAAGTGACTTTGTGTTGTTCAACCTTAAATGAGACATGTATATCATAGTCTCTTCTCCCAAGAGTCAGAGATCATTATAGAAGTGGTGGGGGAGAGACTGTAAAAGTCAGGGGGGCTGTATATGGCTTCCAGAAATTGGTATTTTCACTACATAATAGTGCAGTTGCAGACATGACCTCACAATGATTATGACAGCCTGGATAATACCAATAAAAGTTCAAGAAGAAAAAAAAAGGTCAAGAAGACAAAATCAGTGCACAGAGAGGGAATCTGGGCATATATCTAGAAAAGGAGCCATTTGCAATCAATAACTAGGAGAGAGGAAGAATTGTCATCAAGGGTTTTTCCCCTGGTAGAGGCTGAGTGTGCCCCAGTGAGTACCAACCAATCGCATACATGTGCGACACAGATGGAACTCTGGATTTTCTTAAAGGATGGCACAGCGTTAGGTAGCTATGGAATGATAGTAACTCTAGGAGGAATTGGGGGTTGGATGTAATCAAAATGGAAGGTAGGAAATTGTCAAAACCTTACAATCATTTTTTTTCCAAGACAGGGTTTCTCTTTGTAGCCCTCACTGTCCTGGACCATTTTGTATACTAGGTTGACCTCAAAGAGACGGCCCACCTGCCTCTGCAACTGGAATGCTGAAATTAAAGGTGTGTATCACCATGCTTGGATAATAAAAACATTTTAAGTGAGCACTGACAGTTAGGTTTCAATTCCTCAGTGATATATATTATAAATATATATT